GATACATTTTTGAAGTTGAAAACTTACAAAACCAATAGTTACCATATGAAAGAGTGGGTTAAATTACAATACTAACCAAAACACTAACTAGAGCAGGGTGAAAACTGGATCTATAATTTTGATATAAATCAGTTTAATTCATTGCCTTTTAAATCGAGCCATTCAAAGTGGCCTGATAAATGTTCTGACTCTTTTTTTTTAATTGTGGATCCTTTAGCACAGGGATGTCAAACAGTTTCCAGAAAGGGCTGCATGGCTGCAGGTTTTCTTCCCAACCAGGCAATAGCACACCAGATTCCAGTCATCTCATCAAGTAAGTCCAGCCTTAACATGATGACTTGGTAAGATGAATGGAGCCTAGTTTGCTATTTCTAGGTTTTCTAGGTTGGAAAGGAAACCTACAGCCACTCGGCCCTTTCTGGAACCTGATTGACACTCCTGCTTTAGCAGATCTTTGACAGCTGTGAGGTGCACTACTCCACAGTGAACACTAGGAGGGGCTGCTCCCTCGGGTTGTCAGTGGGCCTGAGTTGATTCAATATGTAAATGACAAAGCCTCATCTTTGATTGGCACTCTAAAATGGATCCTTCAGACTGAGCACAGCATGGAGGCTGCAGGTTCCTTTGTCTGAGTCACGACGGCGTGAATCAGATGGAGAATAAAAAAATGTTTGAACTGTTAAGCTTCACCGTAACCTCTGGTTCCTCATCCACTGCCAGCATCTAGTCATATCCCTCAATATCTTAGCTTTTGAATCACATCTTTATCTCTGTGCTTTTGTTTCATGTTGGATCTCTTTGTGTTTCTGTCCTTTCGGCTGCTTAATGACTTTCTCTTTCTGACATTTACTAACCACAGGGTTTGTTTCTTTTACAGATATAGATTCCTGGGGGATGTCTGAGATCATTTATGTATCCTCATTGGCAGATTTATTCCACCTCTTCCTCTATCCTTTTTATTTTGATAATTAACCAAAATATGGATCCGAATAAACAAGGCGAAACACCTTACAGCTTTTGGTCCACATACTACATTTACAAAGTAGAACTCTATATCTATGACAATCATAAAAAGAGGAAAACAATCCCAATTTGCATTGAGTTAACATAGCCATCAGTCAGTCTATCGTGTTCCTGCAGCTTCAGTTTATTTTCTAAGATTCCCCTTTTAGTTGGAACAAATTGAATTAGCCTGATAAAAGTTTGCATCCAGAACATGTTTGCCATCATTTACAGGAAGCTTCTAAAGAAGCATATAAAGAAGAACTTCTTTAAAGTCGGGTTACGTTATTTAAATAAAATCATGAATGTTAAACTGTTCTTTGCAAAGCACTTATGTTTGGTAAAGGGTCGGACCCACTTTTTCCCGTCAGAACTGCTTTAATTCTATCAGGCATAGACTCAACAAAATATAAACCACGGCCCTCAGGATAAATTTAACACAGAAGCAACTTTCCTTTTCCACCACATCCCAGACTGATTGGATCCAGACACATAAGAAGGTTTAACTGGAGTGGAGACCAGTTGGATACTGATGGAAGAGCTTACTGTGGTCTTCGGCTGTTGAAGCTCATCCACATGAAGCGCATTTAGATGATGTTCCCCATAACTTTGAATAAGTGGTTTATTGAGCTACTTTTGACTTTTTTCGATTGTCTGTCTTTGACCTTCTCTGAAAGTTTGGTTCGGCCTGAGTGTTCAGTCCACTTTTGGCATCTCTTACAGTCTTATACTTGGTTTGAACTTCTTTTCATCTGAAATCATTGAGTTATTCCCACACAATTCTCTCTTTTTCATCGTCTGTTGCTGTTTGGCTGTGACACCATCCTGGAGAGAAATATCAGCTGTGCTGCTGCCAACAACACCTTTGTTTATAGACGTTGGAGACCGGCCTGTTTTTCCAGTGTAGTCCTGTTTCTCTGACTGTGACTGGCTGGATGTGCTCTCTTTATCCTCTGACATGGGAGTTGGCTCGGAGCTCATCTGTCTGGCTGTGTTTCCTGGACGGGGTCGCCTTTTAGAGTTACTTTTTGTATCTCTGCTTCTGTCTCCTTAAACCTCAGTCACCCTCAGCAGATGGCCGCTCACACTGAACCTGGTTCTGCTGAACGTTTCTTCCCGTTAAAAGGGAGTTTTTCCTCTCTACTGTCGCTACAAGCATGCTTAGTGTGTGGGATTGCATTCGAGTCAATGAGTCGATGCAATCAATTGGTTTTCGTTACAGAACTTTGAATCAATCTGACTGTATGATCTGGTGAACTGTAAAGGGCCTTGAATTGGAGCTATACAAATAAACTGAATTGAATTGAAGTTTTAAAGATTTGTATTCTGTTTTAAAAAGCTGTCAGATGTGCTTGATTACTGTTACCTAGAAGTAATATGGTGTAATAGAACAGAGAACATCTCTTCATCCTCACCTTGGATCTTCCACCCACGGTCTGTTATGGTTAAAGACAGTTAATAGTGCAATTATATCTGTCTAAAATTTAGACTTTTCTCAGTGAAACTGCAGTTTTCAGCTCCAGGTCGTCTTTAATCACTTCACACTGGAATGTCTCTGCTCTTGGTCTTCCATATCCAGTAACTTGGAGAGTTTTTTTAGAAGTTTCCTAACTAATCCTTTAAAGTCAAACTTGTTTGTATGTTCAAATATAATTAATTGCAGGGGTTAGAGGAAGTGTGACTCATGCTTAACAATGTTTCCTGGTCATTTTTGTGCAGTTCGCCTCCTGTGTTCAGTGCCATGGTGAGATGATTGTGTTGTTTTCTCTCCTGAAGATCTGATCTTATTGCTATTTGATGGCTTTGCTGTTGAATATTATTGGATGTCCACCTGACCTCATTATAAGTCCATTGCCATGGGCAACCAGCATGAAGATGACGGAGGAGAAGGAGGGTGGGGAGTGATGCATCATGGGTAGGAAACCCGACCTCTCCCTTTTTTTTTTTTTTTTTTAAGTTTTCCTTCGCTTAGAGGACGCCCACGTGCACCAGTGCAGCCACACACACAGTTTGTCTAAACAAAGATGCATTAGAAGCAGCATGTCTGGGCTGCTTATTGTGTCCTACGCAGCTGTTTTTGATCAAATGTAAAGAAAGAAAGAAAAATATGGCAAACAAACTTGCACAGACGCGCTCCTAGATTACACTCAGTGTCTAGCTATTTGTGTTTTAATGTGTTTGCATACAGAGTTAAGTTATTCTTATTTAAACTATTATTTTTTTAAACTATACTAAAAAGTATGTTATGGCACAATCTGTAAAAGGATCATGAAAGAAACTAGATGCAACCATTTTTACATGACTGAATGTAAGGGGCATCTAAACATGTATTTCCTGTAGTTTTTATTGTGCTTTTTTTTTTTTACTTTAGTTACATACTTGCCATCAAATATAGTAAATATGATTATTGGTTAATTAAAAAACTTTTTCCTACTTTG